GAAGAAAAGCAAGGGGAGAGCTGAAAGGGCTGTTTGTGTAGCCAAAAGCCACAGGGTGAGTTTGGAAAGTTGCCTTATATGGGCTTAGTAGAGCAAAGGGGAAGTGAGGGGAGTCCCTGGCGAGCCTACACCTGTGCTGACCCGGTGCTGCAAGAGGGATCTGCCCCTCCCAGGCTCAGGAGAGAAAAGGTGTGTCCTAAGGGCTCCGTGGAAGCATCTTGCCATGGAAGTTCTGGTCTTGCTTCTCAAGTCTGCGTGAGCTCAGGCCTGCCTAACCAAAAGTGTCAATGGCTGTCAGCTCTGCAACCAGGAGACCCCGTCTGCTCCCGTCTGCTCCCAGCTGATGTTAACCTCTTTGTCGTGCTTTTGTTGTCATTGTTTTGAGACTTAGCCTAGGCTGGGCTAAAACTCCCTGTGTATCCCAGGTTAGTTTTGAACTTGTGGGGATCTTCCTGCCTCAGCCCCCCACCTTTATCTCCCAGTGCTGAGTTTACAAGAGAAAACCAGCAGGCCCATCTAGGGGGTTCTTAAGGAACTTGTCTCTTTCATTCACAAGCCTCTCTCCATGCCATCTTTGGGGCCCTTTGCTGGAAACAGAGGGCCCCAAAGTCGGCCCAAGTCTTCAACAGTCCCTGTTCAGTGTATCTCCTGGTGCTGCCATTATAGGCCAGTGCCCAACCTCTATGGTTGTAGAACAGCTTGTACCTGCCCCACAATGCACAGTAGTGACCCTGACTTATCAGAGCTGTTCTCAGTGGTGCTACCAGAATGTTCTTCGTCCAGATGATGATCGACAAGCTAATAAAAAAAGAAGTGATACGGGTCCCACAGCCTCAACAGAACTGTGTTCTTTTCTAGGGTTTTTTTTTTTTTTTTTACGTTGTTTCAATGAAGTGTTCTGGATGTTTCAATAAGTGTTATTGGTCTTTTAATACAAACATAAAATGAGATCTATGCACATATACTTGATTTTTGGACACTAACTATGTTGTCAACTTTGGAGAACAAGGTTGCCATGTCGAGTTACCGTTGTACAGGAGTGAATAGTTTTATTAAAAATGTTGAGTTCCCTTTTTTTGTTTGTACAGAGGTAACACACAGTATTAAGTTGAAAAGTCTTATCTGTGTGGGTTTAATTACAACAACTAATAAAATATTTTTAAAACCCACTTGTTTCCTGTAATTGAAAGCTTTCTCAGCAACATTTTGAGTTCTCTGTAGGTGGTCTACTGCATGGCCCCACTGGAGGCTGAGTGTGAAGGGAGGAGACAAAGACATTGCACCCCGATAAGCCTTCTGGGCCATGGCCTAACAGGTCACAGATCCCTCTTTAGAATACTCCCACAGAGTCTTGCAGTTCTAGTTACTGAGTCACCACGCGTTTGGGATGCCTGTGGGAGCCAAAGGCTTCCCACGTGGCCCCTACGCCACCAGAGTCCCTCCGGGGAGAGCTGTCCTCAGGTCAGCCCCTACTGCTCTGCCTCACACAGCAGCCCCCATCTTGGGTCAGCTCACTAATGCTGCCCCAGCAGCTGGTCCCACGGCCCAGATCACAGCCAAGACAATTCTTGTGGCTAGTGGGCAACTCGATGGCTGGTGAACCCACTGAGGTAGGAAGAAATGCTGAGACCTCAGCGGCTGGTTCGCTTCGCAGGAGCCTCAGCTGCATGGGGTCCTCGTTTTCATGAGCTAAGACGGTTTTTGAGCGCTGTTCAATGAGGGTTTCAGTGAAGTGCTGAACACGAGGAACGCGTCAGACTGCAAACGAGTTCACCCCCGTGCTCATGCAAATGACCCTCGTGAAACTCAAGGGACCAAACACACAACACACACATACATGCACACTCACTCACATATACACTCACACACACTTATACACAGTCACACACACTCACTCACACAAACTCATACACACACTGTCACACAGTCACACACTCACACACACACACTCATTCACACACAAACACACATATATGCAAACTCATACATACACTCTCACAGAGTCACACACATGCACTCACACACTCATGTGTACACTCACATACACTCACACACAGTCACACACACATATACAAACACACACACTCACACACACACATACGCACAAGTAGGAGAGGCACTTGTTGAGAAGGAAGGTTTCAATGGGACAGAGGGACGGCGATAAGAGAGAGTATTTTTTTTTTTAATTCAAATTGAAGAAATGGAAAATTGGCTCTGATCACCAAGCCTTTTCACCTCAGAAAATGTAATTAGTGATGAAAGTACAGGACGCAAGGCTACACGTTAACCCTCTCATTACTCGTAGGTCACCGACTCCTTGGGTTGTTCCCACTGCATTGACCTTCCCTGAGAGGGTGCGGAACTGGGGGCTGGGCAGACAATGGTGTGTCTCCTTTAGTCACATAAAGTTACTATTGGTGACTTAATTAGAATGGAGTGGCTTTCTTCCAGAGAGATAAAAATGAAATAGCCCTCTGCTTCACAAGGGCCCTCACACAAAGCCTACACGCTTGGAAAGCTGGACATTAGACTCCTTCAGTGTCTGTCCGGAGCCAGGCTGCCTCCCTCACAGATCATCTAAGGAGGGGACAGAAAACCAGAGGGCTGGCTCCAGTCCCCTGTCCCCAGATCAGTCTCACATTCACCCTTGATAAGATGTGGAGAGAAAGTGCAAAGGTAACCAGTTTGGCAGCAACCGAAATCGGTTGAGAACACACACTGGCTGACCAGGAGTCCAAGAGAGGACCTGGTAGTCACAGGCCAGATGTCCCTCAGTGGGTTTCCCATATTTCAGCCTTAGCCACTCCCAAATACAAAAATGGAGTGTGGTGGGGCTGTCTCGCAGCAAAAAAAATGAGCAAGTTCACTCCCGTGCAGACGAAAGACTGAATACTGAAGCTCCCTTTCAGGGCAGCTGTAGCAGGTAAGACAACCCACCTGCTGCCTCTTCTTCTGCCTCCCACAGCGATTTGCAGGCTCCTCCCTCTGTGTGCTGTCCCCCCCACTCCCCGCTTCTCTTTCTAATAATGTAAATGTTTCTTTAAGTTCCGGCATAGTCCTCTCTCCCTGACCTACATCAGTAGCTGGGCTGGTCCTGGGAATAGCACTCCCTGGGGTCACACAAGCAATGGCTCTGACTTCCCCAAGATCCCGCATAGAAATCTGAGAGTCAACAATAGATAACAGAGAAAAGTAACCACTGTCTATTTCCCCACTAGACTGGAAGTGCACCGTGGGCCAAGCTGTGTCTGTTCCTTCTCGGTTTGGCTTTTCACAAATATCTTCTGGCTTTGTGGTCGCTGTGCCAACAAAAAGTAGATGTCAACAAATAAGCGTGGCTTGAAAAACAAAACAAATTCCCACCTTATCTTTCTTTTGCAATAAAGTCAGGTGTATATCAGGCTGGCCTTAGACGTGATCTGTAGCAGATAACAACCTTGAATTTCTTTCCCTTCTGCTTCTGCCCCAGAGTGCTTGGATCGCAAGCATGGACCAACGTGCCCAGTATATGTAGCAATGAGGACCAAACCAGATGTCTGTGCTCGTTACATAAGTGTTATAGCAACTGAGCTACATTCCTAGCTCCCAATTTCTAATTTTCTGGTCCCCCTATTATTGTGAACCTCACACGCACCTTGAACTCCAAGGATATTAGTCCTGAAGTAGCATTGTTGGGGTCACAAATGACACCTATGTTGGCACAGGGACTGGAAGGAACAGTGATGTTGAATGATTATCCTGCCTCGAGCAGCATACCCAGTGGTTCCATTCCTGAATAGCTGACTGTACCAGAAACCCCAAGATGACTGTCTGCCTTGTCCAAGCTGGCTCCATACAAATGCTCTTTCCCGACATTTCCTTTCTGAGGTTCATTATGACTCAACTCATGATTATAAAAGGAGGCGAGGTTGGGAAGAAAGGGGATGAGGGAAGCAGGGCTGTGTTGTTCGTCAGTCAACGTGCCATTAATGATGTTCTATTATGTCTTTGTCTCCTAATTTCCTCCCTCAAGTCCGTGGCCCTTAGGTAAGAGACCCTTAGCTAAAACTGGGAAATTTGCTGGTCATGTTGGTGCATGCCTATAGTCTCCGCAATGTGGAGGCAGAGGCAGGCGGATCTCTACGAGACTGATCTACATAGTTACATAGTGAATTCTGAGACAGACTAAATAGTGAGTGTTCAGGATTTCAAGAACAAGTTGGATGGAGAGTCAGCATGCTGAGTGTAGAGATTTCTAGTTTTCTATTAATGCTAACACCAATGTGAAAAATAACTATAAAAGCTTTTATCCCACCCGGAGGTGGTGGCGCACACTTTTAGTCCCAGCATTCAGGAAGCAGAGGCAGGAGGACCTCTGTGAGTTCAAGGCTAGCCTGGTCTACAAGTGCTAGTTCCAGGACAGGTTCCAAAGCAACAGAGAAACCCTGTCTCAACCTCTCCCTAAAAAAAAAAAAAAAAGATTTTATCCCTAAGGTATAATATGAATCACAATAATAGACCAAGATTATTTTACTATCACTGAAAAATCTAGATATTTCTCATAGAAAATAAAAAATATAACTCCATAAAAAAGCACAGTATCAAAACCTTAAAGACCTGCCAATCCTTGCATCTTTTCTGGGGAAAACACCTTTACCCTGAATGGCCCTTTCTCTTTGTAAACCTTGAGAAACCTCCTAGAGTTGCAGCTTTGTCCTGGCTGCTGACGACTCTATTGGGATTTCGAAAGATAAAGGAGATCAGCTTTCTTTGTTCTGAGGAATGTGTGAAGGCTTCTCACCTGTGGGGATCTGGCTGAGCTAGTTCAAGTCAGCAGATCCTCGCCTGGGGGGTCCAGGAGCTCACTCCTGGCTGTGACACCTTGAACTTCAACCTTGCAGGAGACAACAGCAGCGAGAGTCCCTGTAGCCTGGTGACAGCTTCTGGCTTTATTCTTTTCCTGCTGCTCTCTTCCACACGGTCTCACCAGCCATCCGACACCATTCTAACACCAGGCAGTATTTTATTCCGCTCTATTTATTCATTTATTTGTTAATGGGTTTCCAGCTTTACTTCTTTTACAGACTCTTCCAGATCCAAAGGCTTCAAGGGAGACCAGAGAGCAACCAGGTTGTTGGGGGATAAGGAAGTCTGCTTTGGAAGGCCAGGGTGCAGGGAAATCTGATTGGGCCGACTTTCTCTTCCTGCTTCCTTCCCGCCCCGCTTCCATCTCTCTGAAAGATGCCCTGGCCAGTGGAGTTAAAACTCCTCAGGCACTAATGCCTGGAAATGGGCAGAGTAGGGGGTGGGGAGAGAGGTGACATTTTCCTCCTGAACCTTACGTAGAGGGATTATACTTGGTTTGTGTTTTGGTTTCATTTTTCTGGCACTGAAGATCAAACCCAAGGCACAGAGCACACTACATATCATTCTAGCCCTAAGTGATGCCTCCAAAAGCGGAGAATTTCTCAGCTGAGAGGATTCAAACCTGTAGTACTTGTGAACTTACCCAGGGCAGCTTAATTTAACAGCCTTGAAACATTTCACATCCCCACCCCCACTCCTTTCCTACCTTAAATGTCATCTGTAAGGTTGCCTGAGCGGCTTTGGCATCTAACGTCTGAAGATCACGACACACATCTCTCCAAATACCACAACACAATGACTTAAATGTCCGTGCCCTAATGTTAGAGTCTCTAGCGAGGGAGGGCGTATATCTCCTCATAGGGGGGAGGAGAGAAACGTACACAGTCCTCTTCTTCCGTCTGCGTCCCTTCTAGCTGGTCAGGATCAGAGCTGGGCCTGAAACAGCACAAAGCACAGTTGCCCTTGCGGAGATGCGCGGCCGCCACTCTGGGCGGCAGGCTACATCGACATTTACGGTCCCCGTCACCTGCCTGGAGGTCCAAACCTAGCCATCTATACTCATTGTGACGCTGAACGGGAGAGCAGAGATCCCGGGACCCCGCATACCTGTCATTTCCAACACCCACGAAAGGAGGGTAGCCCTCGTTCTCCACAAATGCAGCATTGTCTTGAGGGTAGATGGTATAGTACTGAGGGGGACTTGGGATGGTGGCCGCCGCTCCGCTAGAAGGTACAAGGCCGAGGCCGCAAGGGTTAATCATGGGCTGAAGGAAGGCGGCGTTCATCCCCAGAGGCTCCTGAGAGCTGTAAGGAGGAGGGATGTACTGCACCACGGTGGCCCCGTGGAAGGTGATGGGCTGATTAATGCCAGTGAACACGAACGACTGTCCTCCGGAAGTCGGGTCCGAGTCCAGGACCCTCTCCTCGCTCTCCGTGCATAGCTGGCAGGATAGCATTTTGAACTTGCACACAGCGATCAGGATGAACGTTACGCCGACGGACAGGAGGATGGGCCCGAGGAGCTGGGTCCATTCAAAGTGGGAGACACCCTGGTACTTGATCCAGCCCATGACAGTGAACGTGATCCCCACCAGTCCTAGAAAGATGCCCGAGAAGAGCAGCGTGGCCCCTGCCTTGTCATCATCGGACACCTGCATGTCGGCGGTGCTGGGCGTGTAAGGCGTGACAGAGAACACATTAAGTGGGAAGTCCTCGGGGCGATTGCTGCTGTGCTCCATGGCTCCACACACGACTCTCCCAACATGAGAGGACACAGAGACTGGGAGAGCAGGGGGAGCGCAGTGCGTTAGTTAGAGAAGGACCTTTGGGTTTCTGTGGTTAACAGAGTATAACAAACGCTGAACTTTGTTTAGGAGAATAAGGTCCAAGAAGTGAAGCCTGAAGTTTTGTTGTGGGTTTCCAGAAAGTGGAGACTGCTGGTTTATGAGACAATGGCAAGCTGTCTTTCTGCTTTACATTCATTCATACAAACATCTGTGCATTAATAAATAAAATAATAATAATAATAATAATAATAATGATCACTTCTCAAGTCACTGTTGCATCAGGGGTTGCTTTTCTATAGTCACACATGGCACTGCATTGTGGTTTTGTTTCTGTCCTACCAAAGCAAGGTTTGTGCAAACGACAACACTGCCCCCGAGGAGGAGGGAGTCCTTGGTGTATCCACCACCTGCTTGAAGCCTAATTGGACGTTTTTCTTTCCGAGACAGAGTTTCTCTGTGTAGCCTTGGCTATCCTAAGACTAGCTCTGTAGATCAGGCTGGCATTAACCTGCAGAGTTCTGCCTGCCTCTGCCTCCTGAGTGCTGGCATTAAAGTGGTGTGCCACCACTGCCTGGTTTTAGGCTGGGTCGGCTGGGCAGAAATAGGTCCATACATCGTACTTCCTGTCTTAGCCACGGAAGGAGTCTCCTAGGCCATTTTCTAACAGGAAACCACAAGTTGATTCATTTATACAGAAAAGAAAGCTATTTTCACAGTTCCAGATTTCTGGGGCCAATATCAGCATCTACGGAAGATATTCTTTCTGTCGCCTCTCCCCATCGGATGAGAACACTACAATACATCAGCCCACGTCTCTCTTCCTCTCAGAAAACCACTAATACCATCAGGGGGCTCCACCCTGGCTCCCTCACCTCTCCCTGGTTATGTCGCCGCGGCTTGACCTCCAAACGCCATCAATACATGAATCCAAGAGGTGAGTTACGTACAAGCCTCGGGATCACACACAAGCTACAGCGATACTTTGTCCTTCCTGTCAGCTCTCAGCAAGGCTGAGACCCTGAGAGCATAAGTCCTGGCCCCGGTTCATGGTTCTCTAGCTCTCTGCATCTGGGCAGTACTCCAGCGGTGGGAGAGGAGAGACAGCACAGGAGCCCTTTGCGTGTGTGGCATCACTGGCAGAGGTTTTGCATGAGCATCAGACATAGTGAGATGCTGCCTGGACACCGACTTCGGGCCCTGTGTTCTGGGGGTTGCACAGTTCCGGGTCAACAAAGGCGAGACTAACACCTGCCCTGTTTTGCAACCAAATCCAAGCCGAGGTAAAGAAGACCGCCCGATTTCAACTTTATCTGTCTTTTATGACAGACTACAGAATTTCCAAAGAGACCTATGAACTTCTTCCTCCACTGAATGGTAACTTTGGTCTTGTTCTTTTTTCCTGGACAGACTTTGTCCAAGCAGCTGCCTCTCTTCGGTGGTTAAATATTACATCAGCTTCCTTTTGTAGAAGCGAAAGAGTTGCCCTTTTGTCCAAGGCGGCCTTCCTAAACTTCCTCTGACGATAAGAGTCGCACAGGCCCCTATTTTCAACAGGTACTGGGGGTGGAGGCCAGGCTGCCTCAGGAGACCAGGTAAGGGCTTCACTGCTGAGCTGCGTTCCCAGCTCTTAAACCAACACACCCAAAATATTCAAGGGAGAAGGTCGCCAAATGCCTATGGTAGTTAATCTTCACCCTCAACTTAACCAGACTTAGAGTCACCAAGGAGACCTCTGGGTGTGTCCAGAAGGATTTAAGTAAGGAGGGGAAATTCACCCAGAATGTGGGTGGCCCGGTCTCAAGTGCTTAATAAAAAAGGAAGAGGGCTGGAGTGATGGCTCAGCAGTTAAGGACAGGTGTTGCTCTTGCAGACGACGGAAGTTTAGTTCCCTGGACCCACAGGGCAATTCATAACCATCCGTAACTTCCTTTTCAGAAAATATGATACCCTTATCTGACCTCCCTAGGCACTAGGCATGCACATTCATCATGCAAGAAAAACACTCATACACATAAAAAATAATAAAAAATAAATCTTGTTTTTTTAAAGAACGTGAACTGAGCACTACCATCCATCTTTCTACTCCCTGACTGTGAGCACAAGGTGACTGGATGGCTCTTGGTCCTCTCGCCACCCCGTCCCTGCTCTGATGACTGTACCTCAAACTGTAAGCCAAAAAAAACACCTTTCTTCCTTTAAGTTGCTTTGGTCAGGTGTTTTGTTATTGCAATGAGAAAATCACTAATCCAGTGCCTCCTGACCCTCATCAGGAATCTTAGAAAAATGTCACCCAAATGAAGCCCAAATGCTGCTAGAAGCCCAGAGACATGTTTCCGTAGAACACACTTCTCTGGGAACACTCCTATGGACATTCTCAGCTTTGACCTTTGCTGAGGTGTCAAACGTTTCCTGGTAATAAATCACAAATAACCTTATTTTAAAACAATCCTTTGGTATACATAGTTTTACCACTTGCTGAAGGCAAAAGCAAATCTGCATACAAATGAAGTGGATGTGTTTATTTTTATATAAAGGATTAAATTTTCACTGGATATTTGATACTCCAGTATGACATAGAGTATGTTCGGAGTTGTCTACATTGATTGAAGCTTTGATTTTATAAACATCAATTTTCAAAATTTTCTGAAAATTCTGTCTAATTCCAAGCCAAAACGGATTCAATTTTTTTTTTTTAAGCTCAAGCCGGTCATTTTAACACAATGCAATCTAAAGGTACACTCAGAGGTAATGGAAGGAACATATCAAAAGTCGTTCTGTTCCATAACCAAATTATGATGTTTCTACAACAGTAGAAGGCTTTGTGTATGTACAGCCAGACTATGGCCATTGGTACCATGTGACAGCCTGGGATCTGAGCCTGTGGTTCAGAAGGTCACGGGACCTTGGAAGGTGAAACTCCCATGAAGCTCAGAACCCAGGCTTCAGCGAAGTTGAGTGATACAGCCAACATGGGTGAGCTGCCAGGCATACATCAGATCCATTTTGCATTTGATTTTGAATTAACATTTGGGCATTGTGTATTCAGAAACCTTGGCCAAGTTTTTCCCAACCCCACATGCAGTTATGTGGCCTCAGAGGCAGTCATGAGTTCCGAAAGACTGACAACTCATTAAAAAGTTTGTTTGTTGCTTGCTTGTTTGTTTAAAAGAATCGGGAGATAGCTAAGTGGGTAAAACACTCGCCACTCAAGTGTGAGAACCTGAGTTCAGATCCCCAGCACCCATGGAAAATCAGCCAAGATAGTGTACATCTATAACTCTATACCCCAGCGTTCCTACAGCAAGACTGGAGGCAGGGTCACTAGGAGCTCATAGGCCCAGGTAGTCGCAAACAAGAGACACTGTTTCGAAAAAGCAGTGGGCAAGAACCAACATTAAGGTTATCCTCTGATCTTCACAGATATTCAGTAGAGCACGTGTGCCCACATTCACACACCTAAACACATACACACATATCATAAACATACAAACATGTATGCACACATCTCACCTCTGTTGTGTGTGTGTGTCTCTCTCTCTCTCTCTCTGTGTGTGTGTGTGTGTGTTTAGTCCCCAAGTAGAGTTCCTTTGGAAGGTTCTGGAAACTGGAAGTTGGATCCTAACTGAAGACAGTAGGTTACTGGGAACTGGTCATGATGCCCTGGCCAAGTGCAGGAGACGAAGCAACCATGGACCTGAAACCAGGAGCCAAAAAGCAATCTGTTGCTCCAGGTGTTTCTCTCCAGTATTTTGATCATAGTAATACACACACAAAAAAATACTAGAATAACACTAATGCTGGGATTTTTATGATTATAAACACACTGTCCCTAGTGACCGACAGTCTCCCGTTTCAGTTCAAACTCCATTTCTATTATGTATTTTACATAAAGATCACATGTAATTTTGATAGAACGTTACCTTACAGTTATTATTTGAGAATATTGAGCATTAAAACTTGACAACCAGTTTTTACTGAAGCCTGTTTCATGTGCATCTGCTGTAATTAAGGAGAATAATTCTACTTATTTTATCCATAATTTGACCCTATGTCTGGAGAGACCATGTTTCAATACAGAGATAGCAATTCATCACGGGTACCCAAAGGCTTTCTGCCTTCCTTCCTTTTTTGTCTTCCTGCGGCTTTTTGAAATAGGACTCACCATGTAGCTTGCTGGCTTCTCCTTCTTCCCCCGAGTGCTGGGACTACAGGTGCACACTGCCGTATGGACGTGGTTTTTCCTATTTAAGAGAGTTAAGTAGCAGTAACTTTTATTTATTATTGTCGGCGTGGTCCTCCTCTGTCTTCAGTTGCAACAACAAATGAAACCCATGGGAAGGGTTGATGGCAGTCACTTAGCAAGTTAGTCCTTTGGAAAGATGACCTGGGTCTGTTTTCCATAAAGTGAAAAAAGAAACCTGTAAAATGGCTACATGATTGGCATCTGTGTATTTCTAGAAACGTTAAAAGTTCCCATTGTCTTTTGCAAAGTTTCAAAAATGGCTGCGGAAGCACATTGAAATGCATCCTGTGAGAAGCTGGGCAAGGTGGCCCATGCCTGTAATCTTAGCAGTTGGTAGGTAGTGGGAGAAGGGTCAGTAGTTCAAAGTCATCTTTGGCTTTGAGGAGTTTGAGGACAGCCTGAGCTAAACAAGATCCTGTCTCAAACAAACAAAAGAATGTACATTTTGATGAGAATTACCTTTTCATTTTGTCTGCCCTTGACCTGAATCTTTCTTCAGACACGTGTAGAGAACAGAGACTCTTCCTGTGGAACCAATTCCAAGTGGTGGGTTTGTTGTTGGTTTTTATTTATTTTTTTATTTATTTTTTTTATTTTTTTGATTTTTGAGACAGGGTTTCTCTGTAGTTTTTGGTGCCTGTCCTGGAACTAGCTCTTGTAGACCAGGCTGGCCTCGAACTCACAGAGATCCGCCTGCCTCTGCCTCCTGAGTGCTGGGATTAAAGGCGTGCGCCACCACTGCCCGGCCTGTTGTTGGTTTTTTTGAATCAGAATTTCTCTGTGTAGCCCTGAATGTCCTAGAACTCACTCTG